CCTTTTTTTTATTCCCCTCCCCCCCCGCCCCTTCTCCCCTTTACTCCCCCTCCTCCCCCCCCCCCCCTCCCCCCTCCTCCTTTTTTTTTCCCCACCCTTTTTTTCTTCTTTCTCCTCCCCCCTCCCCACCCTCCCCCCCTTTTTTCCTCCCCCACCCCCTCCCCGTCCCCCCCTCCCTTTTTCCCCCCCCTCCCTTTTTTTTCCGTTTTTTCCCTTTTCCTTATTCCCCCCCTCCCTCCCTCCCCCCCTCCCTTTCTTGACTTCTTTAGAAGAGATACTTCGCGTCGATAATACTTTTTCAAATATTTATATGGAATAATTTGTTCTTTCCATGAGCTTTGATAGAATAATCTACACCATTATCCTTACATGATACTACTGGGTAAGGTCCTTGCCATTGCATTATCAATTTGTTGTGGTCAGTTGGCAAAGAGAACAAGAACTTCATCACCTACTTCTAATTTTCTATGTTTAGCTTTAAGGTCATAATAGTATTTATAATTTCGGCTACTGATTTCTGCTTTAGCAGCAGCTAATTTAGCAGTCTTCAAGACGTGTCTAAGGTCCGTAACATATTGATATGTACTCTTTACTTCATGGTTGATTTCATTATTCGACCAAAGTTCATGTAATATATTCAAAGGACCTCTCACCGTTCTCCCATATAACAATTCAAACGGTGAAAATTTAAGAGAATCGTTTGGCATTTCCCTGTATGCAAAAAGAGTTGCGGGTATATAACGATCCCAGTCACGTGGATGAACAGAACATAGCTTCTTCAACATTGATTTCAGGACCCCGTTAAGTCGTTCTACCATTCCATTACAGCTAGCATGGTAAGGCGTAGTGTAGAGAGCTTTTAATTGACAATAGTCTATGAATTTCGCTCATGAGATCGGATCGAAATTGTGTTCCTCGATCTGACAACACCTCCCTGGGAATACCAACACGCGAGAAAATGTCTACTAAGCTTTCGGCAATAGTAATGGTGTCAATATTTTAAGAGGAATAGCTTCAGGATAGCGTGTAGCACAATCAATTAGAGTTAAAATATATCTATGTCCTCGGTCAGAGCTAGGAGAGAGTGGTCCTACAATGTCAATAGCACCCTTGAGAATGGCTCTTGTATTACAGGAACAGTTTTCATTGGTACCCTTTTAACTCGCCCCTTAGGTGATACCTTCTGACATATGTGACAAGATTTGCAATATCTCTTTATATCTGCCCCAGCACCTGGCCAAAAGAAATTTTCAAACACTTTCAAGCTGGTTTTTCGGTGTGAAAAATGACCTGCAATCAAAGAATCATGGGCAAGCTGAAGAACTTTGTCCCTATATACTGCAGGGATAACTAACTGCATGTTATTGAGTTCATGTTCGTCCTTGCTATGGAGGCAAACCCTATAGATCAGGCCATTAATTCGCTCATACTTAACTGACCTAGATTTCACCTTTTCTACTGAACCAGTCTCAACTCTGTCTCTGATTGTCTGTAAAGTACGGCATGCATTCTGCGCCTTAAGAAATGAATCTTTACTCAAATCTAATTCTTCCATAACGGGGTAAGAAAGTGACTTAATTTCTTCACTCCTTTTCCTACTTGCGCGAGTTTGAACCGCCATTGAAACTACAGGTAAACGCGCCTCCGTTTTCTTTACGTCAGAGCTTGCTGTACATACCTGGTTGTCAATAAAGGGGGTGAGGATAGGAGAGGAAGTCTCAGGATGAATCAGACTGCTTGGGTCCTTAGCATCAAGATGGTTAGGAAGGATTGAGGGTGGAAGGTCAGCTTTATCAGGTACAGGAAGGCTTGGATCATCAGGAGGATAGGGTTCAGTTGGCAATTTCACACCTGGAATAAGGCCAATTAAAACATCGGCAAATTTTATAGGAGCTGCTATTGCTTTTGTCCAACCAGTATAAAATTTACTTTTAATAAGACATCTAACTTGCGGGAAATAATTAGGAATGCCTAAATAGTCGTACACTTTCACAAATTTACCTAGCTTATATTTGGAGGGAACTAACGACTCCTTAACAATAATGGATGAGCATCCAGAATCTAGCATCACCTCCGCAGGTTTATCAAATATATAGCCATTGGGATCAAGCATACAATTCTTTGGAGTCAGCTCAGTTTCAAAGACAAAATTAACTTTAACTGAACTACTTTTACTCTTATAATTTCTCGGATTGTCGGGCAGTTAGGTCTAATGTGACCGACCTTTCCACATCCATGACATGTCATCTCAGAATTACCTTCCTTAACTGACTGGGTCGCTTTGAAGATTGGAGTCTGATTAGTTCTCTTACCGCGGTACAAGTGTGCGCTCCGAAATCGGTCAGCCGACTCTGCCATCTCTACTGCAGTTACAAACTCACGTTCCTTCAAAAAGATTCTCATATCAGAATTACAGTTACTAAGTAGTTGTTCCCTTATAAAAAATCAAAGAGTGAATTAAAATCTTTTGAAATATTGCTCAGGGAGATCCACGTTCGAGATATTGTTCCATTCGAGCAACCAACTGGACGTACGTCTCTCTATCCTGACATTTACTTTCCCGAAATTTACGTCTGTACATGTCGGCGTCCACGGAATAAGCTCTAAGCAAAGCTTCCTTCAGCTTTTCGTAATTACTTACGGTATCATCAGGCAACGATACGTAAACTTTAAGCGCGTGACCTCTAAGTAATGAGCCCAAGTACACGTGGTAATCTTCCTTATTCCACTTATGTAACTTTGCAAATCTTTCAAAGCGTTGTAAGTAACTATCGATGTCATCTTGACCATCATTAAAAGTCGGTAACTTTAACCCTTCATAATCTGTAGTGAATCATTATTACCGAGAACGGAATTACTATTGCCCTCGAAAGCATTCTGAAGCCGTAATTCAGCCATAGATTTATCATGAGCGCGTTGTTTATCGGCCTCTTCGGATTGCAACTGACATCTCTTAAGCTCACGTTCAGCCGCGCGTTCTTCCCGGTCAGCCTTCTCTTTAGCGGACTTTTGTTCTTCCTGAATCAACTTAGAAACTTGTTCAGAATCCATACCCAAGGCCTGGGCCTCTTTCATTATATCTACAATGTAACTCATCATCCACGATTATACGTTAACAGTTAATAACAGTATGAATTAATAAACAAAAACAATCTCATGTTATATGAGTAAATACATAGCATCGGTATCTGTGCCCGAGTGTAAAAACAAGCTCCGAAAACAAACGGTTATACACTAACAAGGCATGGGCACCTGCAAACAAGGGGGAAACTCGTTCCATGTGGCATACACGGCTCAAAGCTAGCACAGCATCACACAGCCGGCGCCAAGTTACGCGGTACCGCAAAACAACAGGGCACGTAGCGGACCTGCAACGTAACTAATCACGAAGTGATGCACAACTTCAAAAAAAAAAAAAAAATCGTAATATAAAAGAACCAGTGAAATACAACTCTTAAAGAGTACACTGCACAAAATTACGATCATACCACTTGCCTCACCTGTATCTCCCTTGTTGCATGCATCGGGGTTCACAATAACTCACCACATCTTCAATAACCATCAAGCAGTTCAGCATAACATGAACGTGTCACAAACACCTTAAAAATACAACATGTTAGAATCATGACTTTAAGATCCATGTGAACAGTATGACTGACGGAACTTTCGACCTTATAGCACTCCGATCCTACTCACTGCGCCATTGTACGTGGTTCGTTTTCTTTTTGTTTCATTTCTTTTTAGAATCGGAGGAATCAGAAGTCGTCAAGTCAGTACAGTTCACAAGGATTTAAAATCAAAAGATGTATTTGATCAATATAACATGTATTATTAACAAATATAACAAGAATGGTTCTTCAAGTATGCATCATACTTTACAAGTGAAAAATAGATTTCATGTTTTTCTTAGCGTCTGTGAGGAGGAGCCGATTGGGGAAGCAGCAAGTTCGGCCTAGTTTCTCTCCACAGACGATTTTCAAAAAATATAAAAAGGCTGTAACAAAAATCTAGTATAAGAATTGGTGTAGGTTTATATATATTCCCATTTACTTTACACAAAGTAAATATGCCTATTTGAATGTGGTGCTCGAGGAAACCATAAATTACTCACGAGCAGGTGTACCAGTGCTCACACGAGCAAGAGTCAGGGCAAAGTGGGCCTACGACCCCCCGCGAAGGATTGGGGTAGCAGCCTACCACCGCGCATGCGCAAAAACAAAGGAGATACTTTTCGGCTCGGCATTACAATTCCATACAAATCATATATTTATAAAAACAACAAAAATAAATGAAATAAGGATATTTAGAAGATAAATATGTTGTCCATTCTACTGAAATCCTTTACAATTCCCCTTTACCAAGATAAAACTTCAGATTTATTATGCATAGTAGCAATGGCACACATTAACATACATATTTATACAGGACAACGACTAAGTAAATCAGCCAATATTATCGTTGCCTTTGATATACTCAATTCTGTATGAGTAACACTGAAGGATGGAGACCAAATTAATAATTCTGGCTAAATGGTTGCTGATCTGCAAGACAAATTCTTTACCAAACAAATAGTTCTTAAATTTATCCACTGCCCAGATAATAGCAAGGCATTCTTTCTCTATGGTTGCATAATTTCGCTCCCTTTCCAATAATTTACGGCTGGCATAAGCAATGGGCATTTTCATGTCATTAACATCTTGGAGGAGTACAGCACCTAAACCATTATCAGAAGCATCAGTTCTCAAATAAAATGTCTTCTTATAGTCAGGTAAGCAAAGTACAGGATTATTAGAGAGTTTTGCTTTTAGACTTTGAAAGCTATCAATCTGGACATCACTCCATGTAAGTTTATTGCTACTTAACTTTTTAAGCATATCATTTAAAGGAGCAGCAGTATCTGAGAAATTGGGAATGAACTTCCTATAAAAGCTACTGTTAGAAGGGGGTATTAGGAAAAGGCATTTCTGATATAGATTTCACTCTTACATCAAGGGGAGTGAGGGCGTTGTCTCCGAGCAGCAAACCAAGGTATTTGATCTTGGGATAACCAAAGTAGCACTTACTGATCCCAGCCGTCAGACCATGCAACCGCAACCTGTTCAGAAGTTCTCTCAAATCCTGCAAGTGTTCAGACCAGTTAGAATTGTGAACAACAATATTGTCAAAATAGCAATCAGTGTTCTTAAGTCCACAGGTTACTATCCTCATTAACCGCACAAAAGTGGCACACGCAGTTTTTAAACCAAAAGGCATCATAACAAATTGCATTAAACCTCTGCTTGTGGCAAAAGCTGTATAGATTTTAGAGACTTTAGAAAGAGGAATTTGCCAATAGCCTTTTGTAAGGTCTAATTCTGAAAAGTATACGTCATTTGAAAAGTTACCTAAAGCATCTTCAATTGTAGGCATAGGTTCACAGTCAAAAGAGGTTATATCATTTAAACCACGGAAGTCAATACAGAACCTCCAGGTTTGGTCAGATTTTCGGACAAGCACAACAGGTGAGCAGTATGGTGAATTAGAAGGCTCTATTATGCCTAGCTTAAGCATCCGATCTACTTCCTTGTCAAATACCAATACGAGATGATGTGGTATGGGGAATGGTTTCTTGCTCACAGGTACATTTGATTCAAGTTTAATTACATGCTCAATTGATTTAGTATGTCCTGGAACATCGGAAAATACGTCAGAAAAATCAGTTATCAAATATTTTACATCACTGACTTGTTCACTAGAAAGACCTTCATTAACATTTAATTCTTTATCATTCAAACTGGTAATGCTAGATTCACAATACATTGGTTGATTTTCAGTGTTACTTTCCTCAACAACACAAACCTGTACAACTTTTTCTTTAGAAGAGATACTTTCGCGTCGATAATACTTTTTCAACATATTTATATGGAATAATTTGTTCTTTCCATGAGCTTTGATAGAATAATCTACACCATTATCCTTACATGATACTACTGGGTAAGGTCCTTGCCATTGCATTATCAATTTGTTGTGGTCAGTTGGCAAGAGAACAAGAACTTCATCACCTACTTCTAATTTTCTATGTTTAGCTTTAAGGTCATAATAGTATTTATAATTTCGGCTACTGATTTCTGCTTTAGCAGCAGCTAATTTAGCAGTCTCTTCAAGACGTGTTCTAAGGTCCGTAACATATTGATATGTACTCTTTACTTCATGGTTGATTTCATTATTCGACCAAAGTTCATGTAATATATTCAAAGGACCTCTCACCGTTCTCCCATATAACAATTCAAACGGTGAAAATTTAAGAGAATCGTTTGGCATTTCCCTGTATGCAAAAAGAGTTGCGGGTATATAGCGATCCCAGTCACGTGGATGAACAGAACATAGCTTCTTCAACATTGATTTCAGGACCCCGTTAAGTCGTTCTACCATTCCATTACAGCTAGCATGGTAAGGCGTAGTGTAGAGAGCTTTAATTGACAATAGTCTATGAATTTCGCTCATGAGATCGGATCGAAATTGTGTTCCTCGATCTGACAACACCTCCCTGGGAATACCAACACGCGAGAAAATGTCTACTAAGCTTTCGGCAATAGTAATGGTGTCAATATTCTTAAGAGGAATAGCTTCAGGATAGCGTGTAGCACAATCAATTAGAGTTAAAATATATCTATGTCCTCGGTCAGAGCTAGGAGAGAGTGGTCCTACAATGTCAATAGCTACCCTTGAGAATGGCTCTTGTATTACAGGAACAGTTTTCATTGGTACCCTTTTAACTCGCCCCTTAGGTGATACCTTCTGACATATGTGACAAGATTTGCAATATCTCTTTATATCTGCCCCAGCACCTGGCCAAAAGAAATTTTCAAACACTTTCAAGCTGGTTTTTCGGTGTGAAAAATGACCTGCAGTCAAAGAATCATGGGCAAGCTGAAGAACTTTGTCCCTATACTGCAGGGATAACTAACTGCATGTTATTGAGTTCATGTTCGTCCTTGCTATGGAGGCAAACCCTATAGATCAGGCCATTAATTCGCTCATACTTAACTGACCTAGATTTCACCTTTTCTACTGAACCAGTCTCAACTCTGTCTCTGATTGTCTGTAAAGTACGGCATGCATTCTGCGCCTTAAGAAATGAATCTTTACTCAAATCTAATTCTTCCATAACGGGTAAGAAAGTGACTTAATTTCTTCACTCCTTTTCCTACTTGCGCGAGTTTGAACCGCCATTGAAACTACAGGTAAACGCGCCTCCGTTTTTCTTTACGTCAGAGCTTGCTGTACATACCTGGTTGTCAATAAAGGGTGAGGATAGGAGAGGAAGTCTCAGGATGAATCAGACTGCTTGGGTCCTTAGCATCAAGATGGTTAGGAAGGATTGAGGGTGGAAGGTCAGCTTTATCAGGTACAGGAAGGCTTGGATCATCAGGAGGATAGGGTTCAGTTGGCAATTTCACACCTGGAATAAGGCCAATTAAAACATCGGCAAATTTTATAGGAGCTGCTATTGCTTTTGTCCAACCAGTATAAAATTTACTTTTAATAAGACATCTAACTTGCGGGAAATAATTAGGAATGCCTAAATAGTCGTACACTTTCACAAATTTACCTAGCTTATATTTGGAGGGAACTAACGACTCCTTAACAATAATGGATGAGCATCCAGAATCTAGCATCACCTCCGCAGGTTTATCAAATATATAGCCATTGGGATCAAGCATACAATTCTTTGGAGTCAGCTCAGTTTCAAAGACAAAATTAACTTTAACTGAACTACTTTTACTCTTATAATTTCTCGGATTGTCGGGCAGTTAGGTCTAATGTGACCGACCTTTCCACATCCATGACATGTCATCTCAGAATTACCTTCCTTAACTGACTGGGTCGCTTTGAAGATTGGAGTCTGATTAGTTCTCTTACCGCGGTACAAGTGTGCGCTCCGAAATCGGTCAGCCGACTCTGCCATCTCTACTGCAGTTACAAACTCACGTTCCTTCAAAAAGATTCTCATATCAGAATTACAGTTACTAAGTAGTTGTTCCCTTATTAAAAAATCAAAGAGTGAATTAAAATCTTTTGAAATATTGCTCAGGGAGATCCACCGTTCGAGATATTGTTCCATTCGAGCAACCAACTGGACGTACGTCTCTCTATCCTGACATTTACTTTCCCGAAATTTACGTCTGTACATGTCGGCGTCCACGGAATAAGCTCTAAGCAAAGCTTCCTTCAGCTTTTCGTAATTACTTACGGTATCATCAGGCAACGATACGTAAACTTTAAGCGCGTGACCTCTAAGTAATGAGCCCAAGTACACGTGGTAATCTTCCTTATTCCACTTATGTAACTTTGCAAATCTTTCAAAGCGTTGTAAGTAACTATCAATGTCATCTTGACCATCATTAAAAGTCGGTAACTTTAACCTTCATAAATCTGTAGTGAATCATTATTACCGAGAACGGAATTACTATTGCCCTCGAAAGCATTCTGAAGCCGTAATTCAGCCATAGATTTATCATGAGCGCGTTGTTTATCGGCCTCTTCGGATTGCAACTGACATCTCTTAAGCTCACGTTCAGCCGCGTTCTTCCCGGTCAGCCTTCTCTTTAGCGGACTTTTGTTCTTCCTGAATCAACTTAGAAACTTGTTCAGAATCCATACCCAAGGCCTGGGCCTCTTTCATTATATCTACAATGTAACTCATCATCCACGATTATACGTTAACAGTTAATAACAGTATGAATTAATAAACAAAAACAATCTCATGTTATATGAGTAAATACATAGCATCGGTATCTGTGCCCGAGTGTAAAAACAAGCTCCGAAAACAAACGGTTATACACTAACAAGGCATGGGCACCTGCAAACAAGGGGGAAACTCGTTCCATGTGGCATACACGGCTCAAAGCTAGCACAGCATCACACAGCCGGCGCCAAGTTACGCGGTACCGCAAAACAACAGGGCACGTAGCGGACCTGCAACGTAACTAATCACGAAGTGATGCACAACTTCAAAAAAAAAAAAAAAAACTCGTAATATAAAAGAACCAGTGAAATACAACTCTTAAAGAGTACACTGCACAAAATTACGATCATACCACTTGCCTCACCTGTATCTCCCTTGTTGCATGCATCGGGGTTCACAATAACTCACCACATCTTCAATAACCATCAAGCAGTTCAGCATAACATGAACGTGTCACAAACACCTTAAAAATACAACATGTTAGAATCATGACTTTAAGATCCATGTGAACAGTATGACTGACGGAACTTTCGACCTTATAGCACTCCGATCCTACTCACTGCGCCATTGTACGTGGTTCGTTTTCTTTTTGTTTCATTTCTTTTTAGAATCGGAGGAATCAGAAGTCGTCAAGTCAGTACAGTTCACAAGGATTTAAAATCAAAAGATGTATTTATCAATATAACATGTATTATTAACAAATATAACAAAGAATGGTTCTTCAAGTATGCATCATACTTTACAAGTGAAAAATAGATTTCATTTTTTCTTAGCGTCTGTGAGGAGGAGCCGATTGGGGAAGCAGCAAGTTCGGCCTAGTTTCTCTCCATCAGACGATTTTCAAAATCATATAAAAAGGCTGTAACAAAAATCTAGTATAAGAATTGGTGTAGGTTTATATATATTCCCATTTACTTTACACAAAGTAAATATGCCTATTTGAATGTGGTGCTCGAGGAAACCATAAATTACTCACGAGCAGGTGTACCAGTGCTCACACGAGCAAGAGTCAGGGCAAAGTGGGCCTACGACCCCCCGCGAAGGATTGGGTAGCAGCCTACCACCGCGCATGCGCAAAAACAAAGGAGATACTTTTCGGCTCGGCATTACAATTCCATACAAATCATATATTTATAAAAATAACAAAAATAAATGAAATAAGGATATTTAGAAGATAAATATGTTGTCCATTCTACTGAAATCCTTTACAATTCCCCTTTACCAAGATAAAACTTCAGATTTTATTATGCATAGTAGCAATGGCACACATTAACATACATATTTATACAGGACAACGACTAAGTAAATCAGCACCAATATTATCGTTGCCTTTGATATACTCAATTCTGTATGAGTAACACTGAAGGATGAGAGACCAACGCATTAATCTGCCATTAGAATTCTTCATATTCCTCAAGTACGTTAATGGTTGCTGATCTGTCTGCAAGACAAATTCTTTACCAAACAAATAGTTCTTAAATTTATCCACTGCCCAGATAATAGCAAGGCATTCTTTCTCTATGGTTGCATAATTTCGCTCCCTTTCCAATAATTTACGGCTGGCATAAGCAATGGGCATTTTCATGTCATTAACATCTTGGAGGAGTACAGCACCTAAACCATTATCAGAAGCATCAGTTCTCAAATAAAAGGTCTTCTTATAGTCAGGTAAGCAAAGTACAGGATTATTAGAGAGTTTTGCTTTTAGACTTTGAAAGCTATCAATCTGGACATCACTCCATTTAAGTTTATTGCTACTTAACTTTTTAAGCATATCATTTAAAGGAGCAGCAGTATCTGAGAAATTGGGAATGAACTTCCTATAAAAGCCTACTGTTCCAAGGAAAGATCTTAACTCCTTTTTTGTATTAGGAAAAGGCATTTCTGATATAGATTTCACTCTTACATCAAGGGGAGTGAGGGCGTTGTCTCCGAGTAGCAAACCAAGGTATTTGATCTTGGGATAACCAAAGTAGCACTTACTGATCCCAGCCGTCAGACCATGCAACCGCAACCTGTTCAGAAGTTCTCTCAAATCCTGCAAGTGTTCAGACCAGTTAGAATTGTGAACAACAATATTGTCAAAATAGCAATCAGTGTTTTTAAGTCCACAGGTTACTATCCTCATTAACCGCACAAAAGTGGCACACGCAGTTTTTAAACCAAAAGGCATCATAACAAATTGCATTAAACCTCTGCTTGTGGCAAAAGCTGTATAGATTTTAGAGACTTTAGAAAGAGGAATTTGCCAATAGCCTTTTGTAAGGTCTAATTCTGAAAAGTATACGTCATTTGAAAAGTTACCTAAAGCATCTTCAATTGTAGGCATAGGTTCACAGTCAAAAGAGGTTATATCATTTAAACCACGGAAGTCAATACAGAACCTCCAGGTTTGGTCAGATTTTCGGACAAGCACAACGGGTGAGCAGTATGGTGAATTAGAAGGCTCTATTATGCCTAGCTTAAGCATCCGATCTACTTCCTTGTCAAATACCAATACGAGATGATGTGGTATGGGGAATGGTTTCTTGCTCACAGGTACATTTGATTCAAGTTTAATTACATGCTCAATTGATTTAGTATGTCCTGGAACATCGGAAAATACGTCAGAAAAATCAGTTATCAAATATTTTACATCATTGACTTGTTCACTAGAAAGACCTTCATTAACATTTAATTCTTTATCATTCAAACTGGTAATGCTAGATTCACAATACATTGGTTGATTTTCAGTGTTACTTTCCTCAACAACACAAACCTGTACAACTTTTTCTTTAGAAGAGATACTTTCGCGTCGATAATACTTTTTCAACATATTATATGGAATAATTTGTTCTTTCCATGAGCTTTGATAGAATAATCTACACCATTATCCTTACATGATACTACTGGGTAAGGTCCTTGCCATTGCATTATCAATTTGTTGTGGTCAGTTGGCAAGAGAACAAGAACTTCATCACCTACTTCTAATTTTCTATGTTTAGCTTTAAGGTCATAATAGTATTTATAATTTCGGCTACTGATTTCTGCTTTAGCAGCAGCTAATTTAGCAGTCTCTTCAAGACGTGTTCTAAGGTCCGTAACATATTGATATGTACTCTTTACTTCATGGTTGATTTCATTATTCGACCAAAGTTCATGTAATATATTCAAAGGACCTCTCACCGTTCTCCCATATAACAATTCAAACGGTGAAAATTTAAGAGAATCGTTTGGCATTTCCCTGTATGCAAAAAGTTGCGGGTATATAACGATCCCAGTCACGTGGATGAACAGAACATAGCTTCTTCAACATTGATTTCAGGACCCCGTTAAGTCGTTCTACCATTCCATTACAGCTAGCATGGTAAGGCGTAGTGTAGAGAGCTTTAATTGACAATAGTCTATGAATTTCGCTCATGAGATCGGATCGAAATTGTGTTCCTCGATCTGACAACACCTCCCTGGGAATACCAACACGCGAGAAAATGTCTACTAAGCTTTCGGCAATAGTAATGGTGTCAATATTCTTAAGAGGAATAGCTTCAGGATAGCGTGTAGCACAATCAATTAGAGTTAAAATATATCTATGTCCTCGGTCAGAGCTAGGAGAGAGTGGTCCTACAATGTCAATAGCTACCCTTGAGAATGGCTCTTGTATTACAGGAACAGTTTTCATTGGTACCCTTTTAACTCGCCCCTTAGGTGATACCTTCTGACATATGTGACAAGATTTGCAATATCTCTTTATATCTGCCCCAGCACCTGGCCAAAAGAAATTTTCAAACACTTTCAAGCTGGTTTTTCGGTGTGAAAAATGACCTGCAATCAAAGAATCATGGGCAAGCTGAAGAACTTGTCCCTATATACTGCAGGGATAACTAACTGCATGTTATTGAGTTCATGTTCGTCCTTGCTATGGAGGCAAACCCTATAGATCAGGCCATTAATTCGCTCATACTTAACTGACCTAGATTTCACCTTTTCTACTGAACCAGTCTCAACTCTGTCTCTGATTGTCTGTAAAGTACGGCATGCATTCTGCGCCTTGAGAAATGAATCTTTACTCAAATCTAATTCTTCCATAACGGGGTAAGAAAGTGACTTAATTTCTTCACTCCTTTTCCTACTTGCGCGAGTTTGAACCGCCATTGAAACTACAGGTAAACGCGCCTCCGTTTTCTTTACGTCAGAGCTTGCTGTACATACCTGGTTGTCAATAAAGGGGTGAGGATAGGAGAGGAAGTCTCAGGATGAATCAGACTGCTTGGTCCTTAGCATCAAGATGGTTAGGAAGGATTGAGGGTGGAAGGTCAGCTTTATCAGGTACAGGAAGGCTTGGATCATCAGGAGGATAGGGTTCAGTGGCAATTTCACACCTGGAATAAGGCCAATTAAAACATCGGCAAATTTTATAGGAGCTGCTATTGCTTTTGTCCAACCAGTATAAAATTTACTTTTAATAAGACATCTAACTTGCGGGAAATAATTAGGAATGCCTAAATAGTCGTACACTTTCACAAATTTACCTAGCTTATATTTGGAGGGAACTAACGACTCCTTAACAATAATGGATGAGCATCCAGAATCTAGCATCACCTCCGCAGGTTTATCAAATATATAGCCATTGGGATCAAGCATACAATTCTTTGGAGTCAGCTCAGTTTCAAAGACAA